GGCCGTTATTCTACACTATATCTAAATCTTGGTATAGCCTATGTTTTATTAATACTCGAAAATGCTTCCGTACGGATAACGGTCCATTTTCGCAATCTACCATGATCATAATAGTTTGAAATTGATCATGGAATGTACTTTTAATTATTGATCCCTATACATTCAGATTTACCTCACATAAAAACGGCTGCTACAACTGTCATTTAAGTGTCACATACTGGGTGTGGCTATTAATGTTCTGATAGTCACAGGATATAATGATACCAAGACCTGGGTGTTTTGTTCAGTTGCCACCAAAATAGCATTAAAATTTCCTTTTTCGTGCAAAAATGAGAAAAGAATGAAGCACTCATAAATTTTTGCTACTGATATTAAGTAAGTAAGTGGAGTGTGCTAATCATCGTTACTTGCAGCAAGGATGATTAGCTCAACCTGATCCAGCATCCACTTTGCGACTCATTCAGAGCAAGCGTCTTTCACCTCTGAGATCGTGCGTTCGATTCTCACTACGGACTCGTGTGAAAAGAGTGTGTCGATCAATGCTTTGACACACTCTTTTCACACGTGTCAATGAAAAGAGTGTGTCAATGCTTTGACACACTCGTTTCACGTGTGTCAGTGACCAATTACATCACGTACTACGCTTACTTATGTTATCTTTACAACAATTGTGATCACTTTCTTAACTGTGTTTATCCTAACCCACCCTGTCAACTTCTCCTGTGGGAGGAAACCGAAACGCCCGGAGAAAACGCACGACTTTCGGCAAAGCATTGACACACTCTTTTCACACGAGTCCGTAGTGAGAATCGAACGCACGATCTCAGAGGTGAAAGGCGCTTGCTCTGACGACTCCACCACCGAAAGCCCACTCATGTCTGATCACGGAGCAATTAGAGAGCTAATCCCAACCAACCCTGTCAACATTCTCTGTGAGAGAAAACCAGAGTACCCAGAGAAAACCCACGACTTTCGGTAGAGCGTTGGCTAACTCTTTTCACATGAGTGTCTTGTCGCACCCACAATCTTGTCGTTCACAAGAGGTGGAAAAAACGTCTTCGGACGATCGCGTTTCCGAAGCTCTATGTATTGTTCCAAATGTCTTCACACTTCAAAATCAATGATTTATAAAACAGGATATATTTTGTTTTTGCAATTTATTTATATAACTTATAAAGCGCCAAAGTTACGTTTCAAAACAAGATGCTTTTAGATAACTGTAAACTCTCTGTATTATTAAAATTTAATTAAAACTGTATTATTTCGTCACATTGCAGATATTGGTGAATGTTTATATGATATTTGTCATATAAGGGCTTTTTGCAAAAACACGCCCGGATACTACAGTTGCTTTTGTAAGGAAGGTTTCAGAGGAGATGGAGTAACTGTTTGTGAGTGACGGTGGGTCTTTAGACGTCCTTAAACTTCCAAGGTTTTCTCCTGATGGAATGCTTGCTTGCAATATATAAGCGCGATATTTTTAATCGTTATTAAAAAATCATTAATAATGCATGAAGAAAACACAAAGAAAAATCATAAGCGTGTCGTATCTGTATATGTCATACAGATTCATGTTGATTTACATAAACTTTAACTTTGATTTTCTCGGCTTAGACAACGTTTATTTTTAAAATTACTTCGCCAATGAACTCATAAGATGATCAGTCGTCTCGTCCCGATACAACACGGCCGCTCATGTTGTAAATAGTACTTATGAATATAAAGTATGCTACCTTGTTATATATAGCTCAGCTGTCCAGTCATGCGACAACGGGGATGTTTCCGAAAATTCGAAACATCTTTCGAAAAATCCTGTTAACAACCTAATTCACAGTACAATGTTCCACAAGTCTCTTTCATTTCATATCTCTGGTTGAACGTGGTAATTGATTGATCGCACTGCGCCAGTCGGTTAAGCTAGAGTCAGATTCTGCCTCCTGATTGGGCAACTAATGATGTTGTCTCTATTATTGTACTATATATGCACGAATAGCGCAGTATAAAATTGCCTCGGCCCCTCATAGCATTTTTCTCTTGAGTTCTTTGTTATACCCTGTGCGTTTTAAAGTTTGCATTCAACACGCAAGCAATATAATTTTTATCTTTTATCATATAATTTTTGAGAAGTGGTATTAGGATAAGGTAGATGCCCGTTTGATTACATGGCGTTCCCTTCAGCGAGACAGCGAAACTTGCCATACACCGTTGAAGGTGCGGTCGAGAGGCGGAACCGCTTTGAATAGTTTGCTATTCTGAGTAGCATCCCAACATATTTAAGCGAGTATTCGATTAAATGGATTGTTCACTGTGCGACCGAGAATGTTTACACCCTGTTTAAAAGCGTAGCGTATTGCTGTTTCCTTCTGCTTTATTATTACTCTTTCCTCCACTTCTTCACCTTTTGGCAGTTAGGCATCTGTCCTTTCCCGCCCTTCCCGACCCCACGCAATCCCATATCTTTATGGTAATGTACACTGACTCACTGAGCTCAACTGGTGTTGCTCCCTGCATACTCACTTGATGGTGTTGGGAAGCCACTTTAAGTAGCCGTTTAAACCACTCCATCAAGTAGCGCGACACACGCGAATTGAGGTAATATCCCCGGGCTTTGAAAAGTTCGGGTTTTGAGTAGTCATGTAGAAGAAGAAATAATTCTTGTGTACAGTTGATGAAGAAAATAAGATCTGAAAAGTTTCAAATAACCCACATAACCCATTGCCCGAAAACGTGAAGCTTAAACTCCCTACTATTGAGTAACGTATATTTTTTGTAGGTGATTTTGGTTCAGAATCCAAGCAAACTAGAAGAACATGAAGAAGAAATGTAGGCTAGATTGTTCAGCCATTACACTGTAGATGGTTAAAAATAAATAATTTCCAATATGGGAAATTGTTAATTGTAAAATTAAGTTTTAATGTTAATGAAACAACAGCCCTATACCTGGCAAATAGTCTTTGCGTAGCCTAAAATCTACAGTTTCATCCTGCGGAAGCCATTTTGTAGAAAATATTGCCGAAATGCCGTAGCTCACAATGTGTCGTTGGCAAATGTCAATAATGAGATTGAAAGCGTTCACAAAGCTCATACAATTGTATTCACATTAGAAAAAGATAACCGTAAAGATGTTTACTTCTGGTAGCGACGCAACAAAATTTTTGTTTTTATGCAATTTGAAGACCCATTTTCGGCACGTTATCGTTGACTTGTCACAAAATTAATAATTGAGTATGCAAGATATTGAATCATCATGGAGTTTTCTTCCTTTTTAGTATACTAATATATAATTGTGATGGTTGATTCCCCAGTTCGTTGAAAATACAAAAGAAATGAATGTTTAATCAATGTTTGTAAATCGGATAAAGATTTGTCCTGATGTACATATTACTGTAAACTCCAGCTTTGATTTTCTCGGCTTAAACAATGTTTATTTTTAAAATTATTTCGCCAATGAACTGATAAGATAGGTCTTTTTTTAAGCACGATAAAACATTCGCATCCGATCTTAATCTGATATACAAACTCTCGCCTTCGGTTCGAGTTTGTATATCATTCAGATAAAGATCGGCTGCTCATGTTTTATCCAGTACTTATTCACCAAACTTTAGTTGATTATATAATTTGAAAATATTGGTGTAATATAGTTATAATAATTGAACCTTACGTAATGTAAAAACAATTCAGCTTATGGCTGTAAGGTTTATCAATTAAAAACATCTATCTATCTATCTATCTCTAAATTTTAGAAGCACTGCGTCATAAATAGCAAAGTTATCCGAGAAAACGGCTTGTTGTTTTCTGTTCCCATGTCAATGATGGATATGAACAAAACACAGGATAATACGCATGGCAAAATACAGGATAATATGCATCATTTCATTTAGTTTTTAAGTAGTATAGAGAGTGGGGGTTCTGGCGCAGGCGGTGCAGACGGTGCACGAAGCACCGCCCATGACGTCATCGATTCTCAAATATTTTAATTTATTCATGTCATTTTAATTTATTTGAGCTTACATGATATTTTTGAACTGCTGTCGTTTGTTTATCTACATTCTACAGTTTATATTTCTGGCTACTTCGCTACCGTTTGTTTATCTGCAGTTTTTATTTCTGGCCACTACGATGTCGTTTCCCTGACTTATAGGAGTTTGCAAAGATTCTGGGGGAAATTCTGCGGAGAATATCGCAGTTTATCCAAAATTCTCCAAAATCATAAACGACAGTAGAAGTAGAGCATAAAAGGTGTATTTGAATTCATCGTATTACAAGGTTTTATTAGATTATCTTAGAGTGTCCACTACCTTAGCACCATCCTTGGTTTTCCCTGGGGATGTATTCACCATGTTTAGGACTATTAGACAAGGAATAATAACAATCCAGACATACATATGAAAATTTTTAAACAGAACTAAGCAGTTGCTAAGCCCAAGTTAAAATCGCTGTCAACGCCGTTGCTATGGTCGATATTTGCATATTACAGAGTCATTAAAAAGTGATTAACCGGTCCACCTCGTGTGGATATACAGGGTGTATCAAAAAAAAGGAGACCTTTAGAAATCAAGCATATTGTTAAAATTTGAATGCCATTTCAATTGCACATATGCTGAACTGTGGTGCGTGAAATATTGATGGAGTGCATATATTAGAAAAAGGAGACCTTTAGAAATCAAGCATATTGTTAAAATTTGAATGCCATTTCAATTGCACATATGCTGAACTGTGGTGCGTGAAATATTGATGGAGTGCATATATTAGAAAAAGGAGACCTTTAGAAATCAAGCATATTGTTAAAATTTGAATGCCATTTCAATTGCACATATGCTGAACTGTGGTGCGTGAAATATTGATGGAGGAGACCTTTAGAAATAAGGAGACCTTGTAAAAAGGAGACCTTTAGAAATCAACCATTAATTGTTATAATTTGAATCCTGGAGCACTTTGCTAAGCACATAGCAGATTGTTCCCAGGAGCAGACAATCTTTTGTTTAAACGTTATTTCAAATTCTAAAGGTCTCCTTTTTCTAATTTATGCGTCCATCAATATTTCACGCACTACGTTTCAGCATATGTGCAATTGAAAAGGCATTCAAATTTTAACAATATGCTTGATTTCTAAAGGTCTCCTTTTTTTTGATACACCCTGTATACAATGTTTTTATTTCACCCAGCGGAGCTTGAGACAGGAAAAAATACTAACAAACAGAGAGTTATTACAGATTATATGCAAGACGCATACCGCCAAAGTCATTGACAGTCATTAAAGGATTATAAGCAAAATTTTAATCTCTTAAGTGCTTATTATGGATAGACAGGGATTATTTATTACCTTAAAATCGGGCGCGTGTCTTTGCAAGCAAAAGTTCGCACAATATTTC